AGGACACCACACAAAAATATCTTTTTAAAAAAAAATTATTTATTTATTGTGTATACAGTGTTCTGTCTGCACATATGCCTGAATGCCAGAAGAGGGCACCAGATCTCATTACAGATGGTCATGAGCCATCATGTGGTTGCTGAGAACTGAACTCAGGACCTCTGGAAGAGCAGCCAATGCTCTTAACCACTGAGCCATCTCTCCAGCCTACACAAAAATATCTTAAACAAGAGTAGAAACATATAGAGTATGTTCTAACAAAAATAACCTTAAATTTGTATCAATGTACAAAAATCCACACTGATGTAAAATATTTGAGATTAATAGTCCCTTTTTAGTTTAAAGTAGATTCAATAATCTGTCTTTTATCCTATCATTCCTATGCCCCTCCTCTTTTTCTTTTCAGAAAGAGATCCTTGAATCCAATCTCCCTTGCTTAGTTTCCTCCATGATCATGACCAATAACAACATTTAATCAACCCTCTTAAATGATGATAAACCCCCCTCTTGTGTTCTTAAAATTACTTCCTGTTATCTGAGGGCAATATGGCATCTTTAGGGAACTGTGAGAAAATTGAGATAATTGTCAAGTCCTGGGGGAGCTAGCTGTTTTCCAGTCATGGTGTGATGAGGAAGTGTAAGACTTTTCTAAAATTCTGGCTGGATAGTGTGTGAGGTTGGACCATCTCAGCCAGCAGCCTTGAAGTTGTTCTGGATATATGCTGTGGAATGGTCTGTATGTTAAATTGCTCTGATTGGTCAATAAATAAAACACTGATTGGCCAGTGGCTAGGCAGGAAGTATAGGTGGGACTAGCAGAGAGGAGAAAAGAAAGAACAGGAAGGCAGAAGGAGTCACTGCCAGCCGCTGCCAGGACAAGCAGCATGTGAAGATGCCGGTGAGCCACGAGCCATGTGGCAAGGTATAGATTTATGGAAATGGGTTAATTTAAGCTATAAGAACAGTTAGCAAGAAGCCTGCCATGGCCATACAGTTTGTAAGCAATATAAGTCTCTGTGTTTACTTGGTTGGGTCTGAGCGGCTGTGGGACTGGCAGGTGACAAATATTTGTCCTGACTGTGGGCCAGGCAGGAAAACTCTAGCTACAGATGTAGAACTCTGAGGAAACTGTAACAGAGGCACTCTAACAGGCTGATCACCTGGGCCACTCATTTTTACTGGTGTCTGGTCCCCTTGCTCTGAAAACACATAAATTTTTAAAAGTAACATATATATCTGTATTAATACAAGTATGGACTGTGCATTGCACATAAGCTAGCCAAAAATAATATTTTTTATGTTTGAGCAGGTAAAATATACATTGCTTGTCTTGTAGTTTTTCTAGATTTATTTCTTTATATCTGTAATCAAGATTTTCAAGCCAGGCAGTGGTGGTGCATGCCTTTAATCCCAGCACATGGGAGGCAGAGCCAGGTGGATCTCTGTGAGTTTGAGGCCAGCCTCCTGGTCTGCAGAGCAAGATCCAGGACAGGCATCAAAACACCATAGAGAAACACTGTCTTGGGGAAAAAAAAAAGATTTTCAGGCATGGGCTGGAAAGATGGCTCGAGGCTTAAGAACACTGGCTGCTCTTCCAGAGGTCCTGAGTTCTATTCCCAGCAACCACATGATGGCTCACAACCATCTAAAACAGGATCTGATGGTTTCTCTGGCATTCAGGTAGACATGCAGAGCACTCAATACATAAAATATAAGTAAATAAAATAAAATAAAAAGATTTTCAGTCAGTCTCCCCTGATTAAACCTGATTCTCTTTAACCTTGAATGGATCCACAGCCCTTCATTTTCTGTGGAAACAAAAGCATAACCTCTTCCCCAATGCAATACATTTTCTGACTTCCATTTTAAAGTTAAGGCATTCCTAAAGTATCTAGGCTGGTTTAACTCAGCAGTCCCTCTTACAATCCTGTGGCTCTTAGCAGCTGTCATTCACTCATCAGCAATCAAAAAATTCAAAGTCAACAAAACACCATATAGGATCCAGAGTCTCTATGTATTTTCTATCTTTACTTGGCTTATCCTTTATATTATTTATATTCTCTCTTTAAAGACTTTATCCTATTAGTTCTAAACTATTTTTTCTATGACTGTCTACCCATTTTCTTTTCTTTTTTAAGCCTATACACATTTTTTAAACACACTGTAACCTGTTCAGAGTTTTTCCCCCATCTGGATCTGTCTTCACTGAGTACCTGCAGTGTTCTCTGACCATGTGAGACAAATCTTAAACTGTCACGTCATCTGCCCTGAGGCTCAGCTTAGCACAGGGTGCTGGCCCATGGTCCTAGCAACCAGCCTGCAAGCTGCAGCCCACAGGCAGCAACAGGAAGTAGCACCTCTGTATGCAGAGCACTGGCCCGCATGACAGACCACAGGACTAGAAAGCCACATCTGGCTCCTTGTCCTGACAGCGTTCTCAGGCCCCATGTTTGGATATTTGAGCCCCACATTGGGCACCATATGTAGATGGATTTTTCTTTGGGCCACCAGCTCACAAAAAATGACACAGACTTATTATTAATTATGAACGCTTAGCCTGTAACTTAGGCTTGTCCCACTAGCTCTTATAACTGAACCCATTTACATTAATCTATATTTTGCCTCGTGGCTTTTTACTTCTCTTTGATCTTGCACCTCCTCTTTCCTCTCCGTGTGCTCTGGTGTCTCTCCCATGCCTAGATTCATCTCTTCTCCTCTCTCTCTGCCCAGAAATCCTGTCTGTCCTCTCCTGCCTAGCTATTGTCCATTCAGCTCTTTATTATTTTTTATTTTTTATTTATTTATTTATTTATTTTTTTTTCGAGACAGGGTTTCTCTGTGTAGCTTTGCACCTTTCCTGGAACTCACTTGGTAGCTCAGGCTGGCCTTGAACTCACAGAGATCCGCCTGCCTCTGCCTCCCGTCTTTATTATTTTTTGAGGCAGGGTTTCTCTGCGTAACAGCCATGCCTGTCCTGAATCTCACTCATAGACCAGGTTGGCCTCAAACACACAGAAATCCACCTGCCTCTGCCTTCTGAGTGCTGGGATTAAAGGTGTGCACCACCACCGCTGGTTACAGCCAGATCTTAAGGAGGCACATTTTTTCAGTTGAGGTTCCCTCTTCTCAGATGACTTTTGATTGTGCCAAGCTGACATAAAACTAGCTAAGACACTGGGCTATGTAGTGAGCCTTTGCCTTAAAAAGGGGGAGGGGTTCATCTTCCGATGCTTGTATGAGTAAGGGTCGTTGCTAACAAGCTTGGGCCATCCTTTCCCCAGTAAACCCGACTCTTAACCCTTTCAGGGCTTGTGGAGGTGAGACACCAGTCAACCCCAGTTGACAACAGTGACACCCTCCCAGGGGCCTGTGGTCACCTGAGACTGCGAGTTTGGCAAGATATTTGTACTAGCCAATATCCAAGGCCTTTTCGGGTCCCCTCCCCCTCTTGGCTCCGGACTTTGCACTGTCCCTAGCCTTGGCTGAGTGTGTCCATAATCCTCTACTGGGCCTTCACCGGGTTAGTCTGTAGCAACCCTCTGCCGGTGCCAGAGGTTAAGGTGAGGGAGGTGGGGCCTAAGGTTGTGGTTAGTGGGCCTTAAAATGCCCTGTTCTCTGGGGCCGGAGCAACGGCTCAGTAGTTTTGAGCCCTGCTGCTCTTGCAGAGGACTGTAGTTTGGTTCCCAGCGCCCATGTGGTGCCTCACAATCGCCTGTAACTCTAATCCAGGCCAACTCTTTTGGATATCCTCTTCTTCAGGCACCAGGCATGCGTGTGATGAACATACACACATGTGGGCAAAAATACTCATACGCGCCAGGCGGTGGTGGCACACGTCTTTAATCCCAGCACTCGGGAGGCAGAGCCAGGCGGATCTCTGTGAGTTCAAGGCCAGCCTGGGCTACAGAGTGAGTTCCAGGAAAGGTGCAAAGCTACACAGAGAAACCCTGTCTCGAAAAACAAAACAACAAAAAATACTCATACGCATAAAATAAAACAGGTCTTTTTAAAGACTTCCCATATTGCTATAAAAACTGAGAATGACCGACTTTAACACAGGTCAGTTGTTTGCCAAGAAGAGGGAAGGAAGAGGTGAAGGGTGGAACAGAAATCTTGGGACTAAGCAGTGTCCCAAGGGTGCAACTAGCCTCCAGAAGGAAGTGTGTGGAGGTTCGTTTCTCAAATGCTCGGGTTAACTCTTCCCCACAGAGTTGGCTTATTACCAGTGTTGAGCCTGTGCCCAGGCTGCCTTGGCCCCAGCTCCTGGCTCAAGGCTTGTGCCCTTCTTGAGTCCCCAGGTTTGCATGGATAGGGGGTAAAGTGCCAAGGCAAGCTCCCGAGCCCTGTTCTTAGCAGGGCAAACAATGTTAGATGGCTCAGAGTTTCGGATTAAAACCACTTCCAATTCTAACCCACGTGCCGCACTTACAAATCGACCCTTCATTTGGAACAGGCTGAGCTAGCTTCCCCCGGACCTAGTTCTTGGGTCCCACCTGCATTTCTACCCAGAAGGCAGACAGTAGAAGTTCTCTGGGCACGGGCGGCCAAAACTGGATGCCCCTGGGGATGCCGGGGTGAAGGCTGTACCAAGGTCCTGGTCAGCTGCTGGTCACCTGAGTTCCAAAAAACGAACGAACTCTCAAGGACTCACTTCCTCTTTCCTTGCTTTGACAGAGGTTGCTCAGTCACAGCGAGTGATGGACCTCTTTGGACTCGACCTGTTTTCGGTCCCTCGAGTGTGGGAGGGCTAGGAGTTCGGAATGAGCGGACTTCGAGTATCAAGGACTGTGTTGGCTACACAGTGAGGTGGGGTTGTCTAGTGGCAGAAGGGTAGCTTGGAGCCAGGCGGTGCCCATCCGTCGATCGATGCGTTCGGCGCTCAGCACAGTCTAGCAGCGAGCCCAGGGGTGGGCAAGGACGGGTGGTGAGCTTGAGTGGGAGGGACGCTCATGGCGGAGAGTTCCAATTGGCAGAGCCTTAGCAAGAGGCGGGTCCTAATTGGCTAGTGGCTGGGAGCGGTGGGGTTAAGAGCTACGCTTCGGCCCCGGCCTAGGCACGATCCCCTAGCACTAAGGCAGTCCGTCTGACCTGCTGCCAGTCTCACGCCATGGATCGCCATCTCCTCACTTGTCGCGCGACCCAGCTCCGGAGTGGCCTCCTGGTCCCCCTGCTTCTGTTAATGATGCTAGCAGACCTGGCGTTCCCGGCCCAACGTCACCCCCCGGTGGTGCTGGGTGAGACTTGCGTGCGGCGGGACGGTGGGTGGGTACTGCAGGATCCAGTGCAGTCAGGGTCGGATGGGCCGACTTCCCTGTTGTGCATCTGCTTTAAGTACGATGCCCAAAGCGTTTGGGTCTCTTAACCTGGGTCGGGTCGGTTAACCCACCTCCCTTCATACTGGGCATGGGTGTGGTCAGCCACCCTCTAAAATATGAGAGCAAGGGAAAAAAGATACTGTTGGATTTCCCACTCCACCTATCTGCATCAGCTCCAAACCTTGCCTCAACATGCCCCCATTTCTTATCTGGAAAGACTGAGGCAGTTCCACCCTACTCCAGAGGGCTTCTAGATAGTCTCAAAATTGGTCTGAGTCTGCCTAGAAGGCTCTCACCCTTCTGTATTTCTCAGGGCATGGCTGGTAGCAAGTTCTGTCTTTGCTGGCCACCGAGATAATTTCCCTTTGCTCTCAGCTTATGGAATGCATGGCATTGACTTTGGGGGAGAAGGTGGAAGGGAGAAGGATGGCTAAGGGAAGGGAAGACAGAGGAAAGGGTTGGGACAACAGCCATGAACAGGTGTTAGGGAGTCAGAGAGCATGCTCTACGCACTCCCCTACAAGACCTTGTTACTCCAGGTGGTGCTGATGCCGGGTATAATTCCCTGCCTATTCACTCTTTGGTCTTAGACCTGGCAGCTGAACAGGAATCAACAGTGTTTCCTTATGCTAATAGGCCAGAATAAAATCTTTGGGAAAAGTCTTGGACTTGACTTGCCGCTCATCTAGAGCTAGTGTTTCAGTGGCCAGCCAGGACTCCTGAGAACAGAGACATGCATATGTTACATACTTATTCTGCTGGAACATGCATTCTCGTGCTCTTTCTGCTGTGATTTTTTTTTTTTTTTTTTGACTTTTCAAGACAGGGTTTCTCTGTGTAACAACAGCTCTGGCAGTTCTGGAATTTACTTTGTAGACCAGGCTGTCCTCAAACTCACAGAGATCCGCCTCTCCCTCCCAAGTATTGAGATTAAAGGCGTGTGTCACCATGTCTGCCTGTTGGGAATATTTTAATAGGGATACTACAGATCATAGAAGGATAGTGTTGATTGTAGCAGGGAAACCTCAATAGGCATTGTAAATTATGCATGGCAGCACATGACTTTAATCCCAGGAGGCAGAGGTAGGCCTGCCTCAGAGTCAAGGCCAGCCTGGTCTACAACACAAGTTCCAGGACAGCTAGGGCTACACAGAGAAATTCTGTCTCAAAAACCAAAACAACAACACAAAATAGGCATCCTCGGTCAGGAAATGGTCTGGGGAATTCTAGGTTCACTTTGAGATTTGTACGTACTTGGCCCTGCTTTTCCCAAGCTTCCAGGATGCCTCTCAGGGAGGTCTGTGTTGGGTGAACAGCACAGAGAATCACAGAGTCAGCCTGGGTGAATGGGTGCCTGGGAAGCCCTCTGGGAGCATGCTGGAACTAGGGTTGGTTGAAAGATGGTTCCAGGCTGGTTGGAATGGAATGGGGGGGAGGCATGTATGTATGATGTAGAACTTGTGACTTATTGGGTCACCTGACTTTACCCTGGGGACCAGTGTGAAGAAGTCACGAGTGAGCCTAAGGAATTCTAAGAATGAGGGCCTTGGCATTGGGATGTATGCATTATCTGACCACATACATGTTTGCCTTTTTTTTTTTCTTCGAGACAGGGTTTCTCTGTGTAGTTTTGGAGCCTGTCCTGGGTGGAACTCACTCTGTAGCCCAGGCTCGCCTTGAACTCACAGAGATCCGCCTGCCTCTGCCTCCAAGTGTTGGAATTGAATGCGTGAACCACCAGCACCAGCACCACCACCAGCACCAGCACCACCACCGCCCGGCCACTTTTTTTTGAGGCAGAGTCTCACTCTGTAGCTCTGTTCTCTCTTTTTAGATCACAGGCTGGCTTTGAACTCACAGAGATCCACCTGCCTCTGCCTCCCTAGCACTGGGGTTAAAGGCGTACGCTAGCGTGCCTGGCTTCTTTGCCATGTATTTTTGCCTGGATGGATTGGTACTAACTGTACTCATTAATCCATCAGAGCAGAGAAGCCTCAGACTCCACAGGGATCTGAACATCTGCACCCTCAACCTGCTCATCTTTTCAAGGATTGGGGCTGCTGCTGGTAACCCAGAGACTGCAGAGAGCCATTCCTGTTCCTAGGCACAAAGTGTGGGTCCTGAGTTAGTGGCAGAAGCATCAGAAGTCAGAAAATTGACCCCAGGGCAGGGAGATGGGACCTTAGGCAAACAATTGTGTTCTTCTCAGCCTCAGTCTTCTCATCTGTTAAATGAGTAAAGAGGGCGTGCAAGAGGGCTCAGTGGGCGAAGGGGATTGCCACCAAGCCTGAAGACCGAGTTCCATCCCCAGATGAAACCAGTTCTGGCAAGTTGTCCTCAGCCTCCACACATGCTGTGGTGTGCGCTCATCTTACTTCTGTTTATACATACACACACATACATACACACCAAGTACACGTGATTTTAAAATTTATATGAAGATGACCCTTCCCAGTGTTACTTGAAGTAAAAGTTCCATGTGCAGCTCTTGTCTTGGTTTCAGGCACCAAGTCTCTCAGGAAGGGGCCATTGGCTATTTTTAGAAGCCACAGCCTGACCAGGGCAAGGGGTATCTGGTGGCTTCCTCTTTCACTCATTTCCCCTTTGGTGGATGGAGACAGTGACCAGTCCACATGTCCAGCTCACGGGCATGTCATGCAGAGGTCCCCATATCAGGAATGCCCTGTTTTTGCACCCACATCATGAAGCAGGTGTCTCGCCTGCTCCCCACGATCCTGTGAAGACATTGGGGTGACACTCAGGCAAGGATGTGTGCTGTGCTGAGTTCAAAGTCACTGGGGAGGAAGGCCAAGTGGCCCTCATAGTGACTGTGGGCTTGGGTTTTTGTTTTGTTTTTTTTTTGGTTTATTTATTTATATTTATTTTCATTTATTTTTTTGAAACAGGGTTTCTCTGTGTAAATAAGTTGCCATGGGACTCGTGGCTTACCAGTACTTTACATCTCATCTCACTTTTCATGGCAGCGGCTGGCAGTGTCTCTCTGCCTCAGCCTTCCACTTCCCAGAATTCTCCTTTCTCCTTGTCCCGCCTATACTTCCTGCCTGGCCACTGGCCAATCTATGAATCAGTCATCCACAGCAAACAGTCCTGGCTGTTTGTAGACTAGGGTAGCCTCAAATTCACAGAGATTCACCTGCCTCTGCCTCCCAAGTGCTGGGATCAAAGGGGTGTGCCACCACTAACCGGCTTTTTCTTTTGTTTTTGTTTTTTGAGACAGGGTTTCTCTGTGTATGTAGCCTTAACTGTTCTTGGCTCTCCTGGAACTTGCTCTGTAAGCCAGGCTGGCCTCGATCGAACTCACAGAGATCTGCCTGCCTCTGCCTCCTGAGTTCTGGGATTAAAGGCTTGTGCCACTACTGCCCAGCTGACTATGGGTCTTTAAAAGGAGTTGTTTCTCTGAAGTGTCCAGAGTGTAGCCTATAGGAGGTACATGCAGCTTGTAACGTTCATGGGAGTAAATAGATTGTGGGGCTTTAAATACTGGGAATTAAAGGAATGAGTGTGGGTTTCGTGTTACCAGAGCCCGAGGGTCTGTGTGGACCAATGAGATTGACAAGGGTGGTATCCAGCCATGCTTGGAACTTGGTCACACCCCGGCCTGTGGCTGCTATGGCATGTTGTTGCACTTTAGCCATCTGTAACACACCTCTCCAGCATGCTAAGGCCTTCCACAAAATCCACCCTCTGGAACATTCCTGCCTTTAGCAAAGCCTAGGGGCTGTGGTGGGTCCTGCTGGTACCGTTGTAAGCTTCTCCCATCTGTGTTATCACGGCCTCCCTCCCACAAGGCTGTAATCCCAGCATCTGGGAGGTTGGAGGCAGGGGAAGCATGCTTTTGATGCCAGCAAGACCTTGTTGAAAAACAAACAAAAACAGAAGAATACTGCCGCTAGATTTAACTTTTGGCCCAGCACTCTGTCTTGTGTCCCACTGCTTGGGGGTAGAAAAGACCCTGCTTGATTTTCTTTTTAGCTTGGTTTAAGCCTGGAGGGTACATATCTAATCAGGGCTGTAGCATTGGCCAAATTTTGGAGGTTCTGGAAAATTTCCATAAGTCTCAAAATCCCTTCTAGGTAGAGTATGATCTGGGTCCATTAACCTTCTGTATATGTAAAGGCAATCCAGGCTGAGGTCTCAGTGTTAGGATTCTGTACATGCGCAGCTTAGGTCTAACGTCTTACATCACCCAGGGGAAGGGAACCACGGCTTCTCAAGGAAGTGACTGGCTTGAACCCCTTTCTGAATGGCCTGCGCGGAAGTTCCAATGAAGATCTAGGGAGGTTATTAATTACACATCACCGCAGAGAGTGCTACAGGCCTCCCCACAAGCATATCAGGCCTCTCTTTAAGCCTCACAGGGTATCTGCTGGCAGGCTTCTTTCCAGTTAATGTGGCTCTTGTTTTTGTTTGTTTGGAAACAGGATCTCAGTGTACAGCCCAGATTGTACTAGCACTCACTTGATCCTCTGGCCTCAGGCTCCTAAGTCCTGGAATGACAGTTATTCACCTGCCATGCCTGGCTAGTAGCAGCTTTTTCTATATGAAGGTGGTGTCCTGGCTTCTCCGTCACATTTCCCTATTTTTGATTTTTTCCAGCCCTGGAATTGTGTCTCAACTTTGGGAGTGAATTACAAAGATGTGCCGTGGCGTCCATTACTCTGGGTGGCTCTTTTGCAGACCCCAAGGTTCTTGGGGGTCTCCAGCCTGCCAGGGCTCGGACCTATGCCTGTCTTTTTTTTTTTTTTTTTTTTTCCTGCAGTGCCTGGTGATTTGGGTAACCAGCTGGAAGCAAAGCTGGACAAGCCAAAGGTCGTACACTACCTTTGCTCCAAGAGGACGGACAGCTACTTCACACTCTGGCTGAACCTTGAGCTGCTTCTGCCCGTTATCATTGACTGCTGGATTGACAATATCAGGTGGGGGCTGGCGCACACAGGTGGGGGGCTACTGGGGGTGCCTACAGAGGCCTTCTCATGCCTCAGTAGATGGAGAAGTACCCGTCTCTTCTAGGCTTTGTAGCCCTTGATCTGATCTGGTCTGCACTAGCTGTACACTCTCAGAGGCATGATTTTCTCCTGCTGCTGCTGCTCCTGTCCTCCCTTCTCCAGTTCATCCTAGACTCAGGTTGTTTTGGCTAGCCCCTATCCACAGACTCACTGTGGCTCCCTCCCTCCCTTTGCCTGAGGCTTGGCCACACCTGCCTCTCTAGCTGCTTGTTCTTCCTGCTGTGAATCTGCATCTTTTCACATTGTAATCTTCTGATTTTTATAGCCTTCATTGGTAAATCCCCTCCCATTCACCCTTTAAAACTTGGCTTTTGAGCTGGCTCAGTGACCCTGGTATTTGCTGGGTGTGGTGTGGACCTGTTATCGTATTACTTTGGGAGGCCAAGGAAGGAGAATTATACTCTGTCTCAAAATCACCCTTCCCCGAACAAATGACTTTATTCCCATGCAAAACCTCCCCACCACCCCTCCCTCCAGGCCCCATGCATGCTTCCTTTACCTCTCACCAAGTACCAAATTATGCTGAACTGTGTTTACCGAATTCAATATAAGGGATTCTGTTTTTTCTGTTTGTTTGTTATTTTGAGACAGGGTTTCCCTGTGTAATTTTGGAGCCTGTCATGGAACTCTGTCTGTAAACCAGGCTGGCCTTGAACTCACAGAGATTTACCTGCCTCTGCCTCCTGAGTGCCCGGCATTTTTTTTCCTGATATAAAATGAATTTCATTACTAGTGTGGTGGATCAAAAACTAACCATTTTTACTTTGGTTAAACAGTTATAAGCTGTTTTGTGTCCTATCATCTCACTTTTTAAAAACTTGATTGATTGGTTGATTGACTGTGTATACAGGGGTGTGGGTATAGAGCTCAGAGGACAACTTGTACAAGTTGGTTCTCTTCTTACCATGTGGGTCCCAGAGACTTAACTCAGGCTTTCCGACAGACTTGGTGGCAGGTGTCTCTACCTGCTGAGCCCATCTCACTATTCATATTATGATATAACCAACCCAAACCTCTTCAGTTACTAACCACAGACATGTTAGAAGAAGGTGGGTATGGTGGTGTATCTATAATCCCAGCATTTGGGAGGGGGCTGAGGCAGGAGAATTGTCACAGTTGCCAGCTTGGGCTACAGAATGGGGACCAGCCAGGGTTAAGTGCAAAACACTGTCTCAAGACCCCAAACAAACATAGAAGAGACTGACTTCCTACATGTGCGAACACATCAGTGGCGTTCCCAGGATAAAGTTAAGGGGGCTACAAAGTAAACATTTTAGCTGGATGGACTGGTGGTCCTGATGATTTTTTTTAATCTTTTATTTTTGACAGTTTCATATTGATATATCTATATATACACATACAATGTATCTTTTTTTCTTTCTTGAAACAAGGTTTCCCGGTGTAACTTTGGCTGTTCTGTAACTCACTCTGTAGACCAGGCTGGCTTTGAACTCATAGAGATCCGCCTGGCTCTGCCTCCTGAGTGCTGGGATTAAAGGGTGTGCTACCACTGCCCAGCTACAATGTATCTTTTATTTACTTTTTGTGTATGATTGTTTTGCCTGCATGTGTATAAATGCACTGCATTCATGCCTGCAGAAGTCAGAGGAAGGCATTAATCTACCGGAACTGAAGTTAGCTTTTTCTCTTTATTTTATGTCTATGGGTGTTTTGCCTGCAGGTATGACAGTGTGTAATGCCCACAGAAGCCAGAAGACAGTGTCAGATCCCCTAGGACTGGAATTACTATATAATGTATCTTGTTTGTTTCTTTTTTTCAAAACAGGGTTTCACTGTATCTCTGGCTGTCCTGGAACTCACTATGTAGAACGGGTGGTCTGGAACTCTCAGAAATCTACCTGCCTCTGCCTCCGAAGTGCTAGGACTAAAGGCTTGGACCACTGCATCTGGCCTATACAAAGTATTTTTCTTTTCTTTTCTTTTCTTTTTTTTTTTTTTTTGAGACAGGGTTTCTCTGTGTAGGCTTGGCTGTCCTGGAACTTGCTCTCCAGCCCCAAATTTAGGCTGCCGTTAAGTCAGACCCATATCCTTAACAAACAAATTCCACATGTATGTTGTGATACACATCCACACACAATTGAACAAATACATACATTTGATTAAAAAAAATTAAACTTAAAACATTTTTTTGTGGAGCTGGAGAGATGCCTCAGAGATTAAGAGCACTGACTGCTCTTCATAGGACCTGGGTTCAGTTCTCAGCACCTACATGGCAGCTCACAACTGTCTGTAACTCCAGTTTCAGGGGATCTGGCACGCTCACATAAATATACATGCAGGCAAAACCCCAATGCACACAAATTATAAACAAAAACAAAACTTTTCTTGTGTTTTGAGAGAGAGCCAGTTAGAGTTGTGGTGGTGCACACTTTTAAGAGTCAGAGGGTAGATGGCTGGATCTCTGTGAGTTCGAGGCCAGCCTGGTCTACAGAGTGAGTTCCAAGGTGGCCAGGACTACATAAAAAGACCCCGTCTCAAAAAGCAAAAAAAGAAAAATAAATTTTTTTTTGAGATGGATCTCTATAAATTACCAGGCTAGCCTTGAACTTTCAATTATTTATCAGCCTCTGGAACAGCTAGGATTTCAAGGGCAGATTAGTCAGACTTTGTGGCACATACCTGGGATTCCAGTGTTTTGGAGGCAGAAGGAGATCACTGAGAGTTCAAGGCTAGCCTGGTATACAGAGCAAATTCCTAGGGCTGCATTGTGAGAACCTATCTAAAAACAAACAAACAAATAACAAAAAGAAAAAAAGGAACAGTTTACGTGAAGGTGGAGGTGCTCCCTTCAGTATAGGGGAAGAGCTAGACATGTAGCTCTTGCTTAGCATGTATAGAGTGGGGGGCTGAAGTGATGGCTCTTTCAGAGGGCCCAGGTTGCTACCGGTCTACAAAGCACCAATGTTGAATGTCTCACAACTGCCTATAACCTCAGCTCCAGGAGATCTGATGTTTGCTGGATTCCATGGGCACCTGAACACATGTCATAGAATGTATACTTATATAAACATACAGACATTGCACGTAGATTTTAAAAAGGACAGGGAGTTTTGATCCTTAGCCCCCTCAAAAGGTAATGCAGCCGAACATTTCCTATGGCCTTGTATTGTTGTAGCCTTCTAACCTTTGTAGCAAGTGTTACTCAGATGCTGTCAGCCCAGTGAATTATGATGCATTTAGGGTCTTACTAGGCAGCCCTGTCTGTGCTGGAACTCACAATGTAGATCAGGCTGGCCTCAAACTCATGGAGATCCATGGACCTGCCATGGAGTGCTGGATTAAATGTGTGCACCTCCATGCTGGGTATATTATGATACTTGATGCTAATAATAAGTGACCAAGTTGCTGGTTTATGTATTTACTAAATTATACATTCTTTATTTTAAGATAGGATTTTACTGTGTAGACCTGGCTGGCCTGGAACTAAAGGCATGTGCTACAATACCTGACTTTACAATTCTTGTTGTTGTTTTGTTTTTTTCGAGACAGAGTTTCTCTGTGTAGCTTTGTGCCTTTCCTGGAACTCACTTGGTAGCCCAGGCTGGCCTCGAACTCAGAGATCCTCCTGGCTCTGCCTCCCAAGTGCTGGGATTAAAGGCGTGCGCCACCACCGCCCGGCAGACTTTACAATTCTTATTTTTATTTTATTTATTTATTTTTTATTTGGAGGGGGTGGCTGTTGAGACAGGGTCGCACTGTGTAGCCCTGGCTGTCCTGGAATTGCCTTTGTAGACCAAGCCGTCTTGAACTCACAGAGATCCACCTACCTCTGCCTCCTGAGTGCTGGGATTAAAGGTGTGCACCACCACCACCACCACCACCACCACCACCACCACCACCACCACCAGGCCAAATTTTATATACCATATTTTTTTAATTTTAATTTTAATTTTTTTAAGATTTATTTATTTATTATGTATACAGTGTTCTGCCTACATGCCAGAAGAGGGCAATAGATCTCACTCATTACAGATGGTTGTGAGCTACCATGTAGTTGCTGGGAATTGAACTCAGGTCCTCTGGAAGAGCAGCCAGTGCTCTTAACTGCTGAGCCATCTCTCCAGCCCTAAGTGAATTTTTTTTTTTTCAAAGACAGGGTTTCTCTTTGTAGCCTTGGAGCCTGTCCTGGAACTTGTTCTGTAGACCAGGCTGGCCTTGAACTCACAGAGATCCACCTGCCTCAGCCTCCTGAGTACTGGGATTAAAGGCATGCGCCACCACCTCCTGGCTCCATATTGTTATTATTTTGGAATGTTCTACTTACAAAAACAACAATGACAACAAAAACCCCAACACCTCCATTACCCGAGGTTGCTTATAACCCTGTCGGTAAGGACGGTAGATTGGGGCTGAGAAAGGTAGGTTTTGAGTTAGAGGCTAGCCTGGACTAGCAAGAACCTGTCTCAAAACTAAAGCAAAATACAAAGTTTACTCCATTTACTATGTATTATACCGGAAGTCTCTATCCTTCTTTCAATTTGAAGGAAAAAAATAAAAAGTTTTTGAGCCTGTGGGAGTGGTGCACGCCTTTAATCCCAATACTCAGGAGGTAAAAGCAGGTGGAGCTCCGAGTTCAAGGCCAGCCTGGTGTCCATAGGGAGTTCCAGGTAAGGTCCTGTTGTAACAACAACAAAGACCAACAACACAGCAACACAAAAGGGGGTGGTAAGATGGCCCAGTAGATGAAATCACTCCCTGTTCTTGCAGAGAACCCAAGTTCGAGTCCCAGAATTCACATAGTGGTTCACAACCATCATAACTTCAGTTCCAAGGAAATCTGATGCCATCTTTGACCTCTGCAGGCACCAGGCATGCATGTGGTGCACAGATGTTCATGTAGGCAAAAAAGTTACACTCAGACAATTAAATAAAAAAAGGGTTGTGAGACAGGGTCCACTGTGTAGCCCAGGCTGGAACCGACAGTCCTGGCTCTGCCTCCCGAATGCTGGGATCACAGAGGTGTGTTTTATCAGTCCTGTCTTCTCATGTGTGTATGTCTCTTGATTGCATATTGCGTCAAGAGCACACTTGAATGAGTGTCTTACACTATCTAGATTTCTGCTAGAGCACTCTTGAGGGCTGTACCGTAAGAAAATTGCCGAATGGTGAATTTAATTTAGTCTTGAGGCAGTCCTTGGAACCGGTATTATCTTTAAACCTGTTTCACAGGAGATGAGGGTGTCACTCAGTCTATCATAACAAGGCTTAGAATTTGATCCCCAGAACCACAAATAAACAAATTACTTTATTTTTAAGATTTCTTTATTTATGTGTACAGTGTTCTATCTGCATGCATGCCTGCATGCCAGAAGAGGGCACCAGATCTCATTACAGATGGTTGTGAGCCACCATGTGGTTGCTAGGAATTGAACTCAGGACCTCTGGAAGAGCAGTCAGTGCTCTTAACCTCTGAGCCATCTCTCTAGCCCCACAAATGTACTTTATAGATAAGGAAATCTGAAAGCTCAAAGAATTTATATATAAAATTGACTACAGCTATTTCATTCAGCTGATAAATCACAGAGATGATTCAAACTCAGAATTGTATTATTCTAAGGTCCCCTCCCAGACAGAAATCTCTAAAGGCAGAGACTATTTCTGTTTTTTTTTTCCTAGATTTATTTAATTATATTATGTGTATGAGTATTTTGCTTGCATATATGTAAGTGTAGTGTATGCTGGGTGCTGTGAAAGTCAGAAGAGGACATCAGATCCCCTAGGACTGGGAGTTACAGATGGTTATGTGGGTGCTGGGAATTGAACCTAGGTCCTCTGCAAGAGCACTGAGTGCCACCAAGTACCACCCCACCCCCAGGGTCTCTTGATATTCCTGGCTGTCCTGGAACTCACTCTGTAGACCAGGCTGGCCTCGAACTCAGATCCAATTGTCTCTGCCTCCCGAGTGCTGGGATCAAGGGCATGTGCCACCCACCCACCCCCACTGCCTGCTCCACAACAAGTGTCTTAAAAGCTCAGCTAAATTGCTGGGCATTGGTGGCACACGCCTTTAATCCCAGCACTCGGGAGGCAGAGACAGGCCCCTGGTCTACAGAGTTGAGTTCCAGGAAAGTCTCCAAAGCTACACAGAGAAACCCTGTCTCAAAAAAACCAAAAATAAAATTTTAAAAAACGTATTTAAAAAAAAAGAAAAGCTCAGCTCAATGAAAGAACATAGCTGGGCCCAGTAAATGTTGGTGCTGATTAGAACTCCATCAATTAACAGCTTTTCCCAGAGACCCGCTAGCTGACGCCCGGCGACAGCCCTGCCCTGCATGTTCATGCTGCCTCTTCCTTGACTTTCTTTTCTCTGTGTGTGTGTGTGTGTGTGTGTGTGTGTGTGTGTGTGTGTGTGTGTGTGTGTGTGTGTGTGTGACTGCAGCTATTCCTGGGCTGTTGATCTGCATTTCTATTTTTGTCCTGGAGACACATGGCCTCAGGTGCTGCCAAGGAGGCACAGGTTGATGTTGAAAGGAGCTTTTTTGTCTTGGTTACTCCTCTGACCTGTTTAGATTTTCATCTTGCACAAAGCTGCCTTGACTTTCCACAACCATTTTCTGTACTTTGCAGATTATCCACTGGTGAGGGCGGGTCCCGGGCCCTGTCATTTAGATCAATGTTGGGATCCTGTCAGCTTTCTGTGACTGCTGTGTTTTTTTTTTTTTTTTTTTAACTATTTAAATTTTTTTTTCAACTTTTTTGGTTTCTCTGTGTAATAGTCCTGGCTGTCCTGGAATTCACTTTTGTAGACCAGGCTAGCCTCGAACTCACAGAGATCCACCTGCCTCTGCCTCCTGAGTGCTGGGATAAAAGGTGTGCATCACCACTGCCTGGTCTAAAATTTTTTTTATGTGCATGGATTTTCTGTCTGCCTGAGTATCTGTGTACCCGGTGTATGCAGTACCTTTGATGAGAGTAGGACTTGGGACCACCAGCAAATTCTGCTTTTCTAGGGCATATGTGCCTCTGGGGTTTCCTATTACTTCTTCAGGCCCCTGACTTGAGCAAGGCAAGCAGAGCAGTCCTGAGTTTAGTTCTGTTTTTCATTGGAGCCATAGAAGCAATGAGATGATAATGTCTTGAGTTAGAAGCTGCTGAATCTGTGGTCGTTTGTAACACAGCAACAGAACATTAACGAAGGGCTGCCTAAGCTGGCAGTCCTCACCACTGCATTTAGGAATTGGTGGGCACACCCTGGATGTTGTGGCTGCTGGCAGGTCATCTGCTCCTGGAGTCCTGAGCAGGTCATGTGGTATGGTTCATTCCCTTCCTCTTCGGATGGCATGGCTTGGGGGAGGCACCCGGGATCCACCTGGACCCATCTGGATCTGCAGCACAGCTTTTCTCCTGCTTCTTCTTACCTGCCCCCATCATTCCTCTGGGCTTTGTCCACCCTGGTTCCCACCCTGTTTATACAGCAGCCACAGTGCCCAGGCCCTGAGGTGGCTGTGTCTGTCTGCTGTGTGCGCTACTCGCCACCGGCTTTTCGCCGATGTGGTAGGAGGGGTGGCAGGCACTGAACCCATAGGGATGGCCCCAACAAGAGCAGGCTGCCCCCTGAGATCAAGTATGGTGTTGGCATAGCTAGGACTGGTACTGCTTCTGCCTAGTCCAAGACCCCCGTTCTAGGTGAGGGGACCTGGGAGAAGGGATTGCTCTGGCAGGGGCCCCTGTGATTAGTCTCTGGAGTAAGGCTCGGTGCAGTTCTCATTTAGATTTGTTATTCTGTTGGGGTTTTTGTTCGCTTGATTGTCTAAGCCCAGGCTGGCCTCAAACTTAGACGTAAATGAGGATAACCTTGACTGTCTCATCTTCCTAACTCTACCTCCCAAGTCTATTTGTTTCGGTTTTTTTTTTTTTTTTTTGAGACAGGGTTTCTTTGTGTAACAGTCTTGGCTGTCCTGGAACTGGCTCTGTAGACCAGGCTGGCCTCGAACTGCAGAGATCTGCCTGCCTCTGCTTCCTGAGTGCCGGGATTAAAGGCGTGCGCCACTGCCGCAGTCCTGCTAGATCTGTTTTCTAAGCCTGCTTTGTTACTTTTTCATCCCTTTTATACCTCCGATCAAACCAGGGAGTGAGACTGCAGTGTGGCTAAGGTCACGGGTGGTATTGAGACATAGTGAGCCTGGTGGTGCCTTTGAGTTACTACCTGGTTATCTTCTCCTGGCAGGCTGGTTTACAACAGAACAACTCGGGCCACCCAGTTTCCTGATGGTGTGGATGTGCGTGTCCCTGGCTTTGGGGAAACATTCTCTTTGGAGTTCCTAGACCCCAGCAAAAGGAATGTGGGTATGTAGCTCTTGCTCAGGGTCTCCAGGGCATGTTAGCTGGGGGATCTGGGCTCTGCTGGGTTTCTAGAATGTGGGAAGTACTACCTTGCTTTCAAGGGTTAGCCTGTGAGCTGTCTTTGATTAGTGGACACCAATCCCTTTACCACTTCTTAGGGAGACAGAAGTTACTGTCTCTGTGGGTGTGCTGTGGGTGGCTAACACTGGCTATATTTTATGTAATTCTATGCATGTCTGTCTGTAGGTTCCTATTTCTACACTATGGTAGAGAGCCTTGTGGGCTGGGGCTATACACGAGGCGAAGATCTCCGAGGGGCTCCCTATGACTGGCGCCGAGCTCCAAGTAAGAACCCCCCTCCACCCCCACCCCTGTTCTGTCCCTGAGGGGCTTAGGAGGCAGGAATAAGGTAGTCTCAGCCACTAATAGGCCTTGGGCTCTCCCTCCATCTGGGCCTCTGGCATCCAGTGCAGCGGCCACGGCCACCAGCTCTGCCTGGTCCTGCCTTATCCTTTCCTATCATTCATCTCAGGACCCTCTGAGGCTTGGTAGGAGTAGAGGATAAGATCGAGGAGCAAAATGAGTCTCTTGGTCCTCTCTTCATGAACCTTTGGGGGAACTAGTCTGCTCCTACTTAGGTTCCGACATTCTCTGCACCCCTAGTCCTGGGTCTGGCCTGTGGATTGGCCAGTGGTCCAGGTCCCAGGACACTTCTAGCCTGACCCCCTGCTTGGCTCTGGCCTGCAGATGAAAACGTGCCCTACTTCTTGGCCCTCCGAGAGATGATCGAGGAGATGTACCAGATGTATGGGGGCCCCGTGGTGCTGGTCGCCCACAGCATGGGCAACATGTACACGCTCTACTTTCTGCAGCGGCAACCACAGGCCTGGAAGGACAAGTATATCCATGCCTTCGTTTCACTGGGTGCGCCCTGGGGGGGCGTGGCCAAGACCCTGCGTGTCCTGGCCTCAGGTAAGACCTCCCTGGTCCCTCATGGATGGCTGCTGTTGCCAGGAATGCCTCCTCCTTTTTTTTTTTTTAACGTGGTCTATGCTATGCCAACATCCTTCATGTCTCCTCCCTGGACTAACATCCTTCTTTCCCCAGAGTGCCTTTCTTTCTATTTCATTTTGGGGGGCCCAGTGGGATGGCTCAGTGGTTAAAGGAACTCACTGTGTAAGCCCAGCGATCTGCGTTCAATCCCCAGAACCAGTATAAAGGTCTAAGGACGGGACAGTTCCACAAATTTGTCATCTGACCTCAACATACAGGCATGACATGTGTGCTCACACATACCGTGTGCACACAGTAATCAATTAAAACAAGTATTTTTCCTCCAAAAGAAAATCTAATGCTGTGGCTGGTGAGGAGCCTCAGCCGGCTAAGGCTCTTGTTGCCAAGTCTGAGGGCCTGAATCCAGTCCCCAGAACCCACATGATAGAAGGAGAAAACCAGCCC